TCGCTTTAGGGTAGTAAATAATGCAAAAAACGGCCGAGGTTTAAATAATAGGGCTACACGGGAATCACAAGAGAGATATTCAGCTTGCTTTTTTATTGGGTACGTTGATTTTCTCAGTACATATTTTTGTTTTGTTTACTCTATTTAGGTAACTCAATCTAAGAGAAGTGCAGTCATAAGTTGATCAAAAAGTGCGACCCAAAACGAAATGCGTTTAAAACGTAAGTGCCTGTAACAACACCTCCACTCTCCTTATCTTACCCTCATCTTTCTCTTTCCTTTAATACAATTCTTACAACTTACTTCAATGAATTCCCAACTATATGTCTTACTAGCTCAGTCCAACACATAAGACAAAAACGGGAGTCTGATTGACCCGGCTTTGAGTTAGATAATGTAATATTAATGCCGGGTTAGGGATTTTATACTAGCTAGAGCCAGGAGACACGGCCTGTGTTAATTAGGTAATCACTGATTTCAAAAACCTAACACGATAAAATTTTGACTGCCCGATAAAGAGTATTTTAAAAAATCATATCCGACTTCTTCCCATGTTATGCTTTAACTAATTTTTTGTCATGTTCACTCTTTTAGGTCACAATCTAACAGAAGTAAAGTCATTAATTGTTTAAAAAGCAGTGAAAAAGTGCGGACCCAACTTAACTAGGAGATTTTGAAAACGTAAGTGCTTTTAACAACCCCGACCCCCATCTTTCTTTGGTGCTTCAATGAATTACGTCTACTCAGGATCTTGGCTGTTAAAGTTACTACAAAATGGCAAATGGCTCATTTGGTAACTCGATCTTTTGTTCTTTTCTTTTTACGCAGTAGCATCCAGGCGAACTCAAAATCATTCAAAATCGCTGAAATACCACGTCTGAGGCAAAAGGACAACAATATATCGTAGGTAAGGTAATAAAACGTTTATTTAACACTGATCTATATATAGTTAGCGATATATTGCTACAGAAAGATGCAGTAGCAGTAAACTATGAATCCAAGTCATTCACCAAAAAAACAGATTGTGTGGGTTCTCTGTGGTATATCCTACAAAGGAATCCTCGTCCCAGGGTCTACTGGTGTCCCGGCCAATATGGCGGCGCAGGGTGGATGAATCTTCCATCAATCACAGAGTCAGTGTAGCAATGTAAACTTATTTAGGCCTATAAAGTACCTACAACAATCTCGAGAAAGGACTTTGCAATGTAAAAACCAAAATACCAAACAAGTCAAAAGAATTGGAAGGTCTGCAGGGCCGACATAAAGGTAAGCTCAACAGTAACTGTTGACAAAATTGTTACTAAAACATGGAACGACCTAAAACCACCTAAAACCATCTACAACCACCTACAACCACCTCAAAAAATTCAACAACCACCTACAACCATCTACAACCACCTCAAAAACATCTACAACCACTCGCAAACAATCTAAAACCAGCTAAAACAGGGTATAAATGTCTGAAATAAGGCGAGACGACAACACGTCACGTACATGAAATACGAGAATGGGACAAAACATCCACTTCCCGCTAAAATCTTACTCTCGCTGGTCCCTTGTATCATCAACCATTGGCTTAACACAAAACTAAGAAATAAGAAGCGCACGTATCCCATCACTCCCAAGAAGAGGAGCTGGGTGAAAAATAGGTTCCAAAACATAATAAAAGTATATAAAAATCCAGGTAAATTACTTTTAATACAATCATTCATTATCAAAATTTTTCAACCCATTTTTATTAATTTCGGCTCGTGTTAACTTGTTTTCTTCTGAATCCATTGCATTATAGATTTTTTAAATAACATTTTTAACAATGATTACACCTACTAGTCTCTGTTTCCCATGTCGTAACACAAGGGAGTTTAGCCTTGCGTGATGACACAGGAAACCACAGGGTCCAGAGGAGATGTATTTGTCGTTAGAACATCAAAACCCGTCGAAAACCGCTGAAAAAAATGGGTTATCTATGATCATTCTGTAGACCGACGGCCTTCGGTCACCCTTCGGGTGAGGTGCCATGCGCCAGCGAGGATATGGCTTGCGGTTATTGATTTTCAAAAGACGATCTGGGTCAGATAAGAAGCGAAGAAATCGATTACAGTAGATTTATAAAGATCCCATTGGGCTAATTAATCGTGCTAAGCGACAGGTATAGACATTTTTCGAGGTGAGACTTTAAATAAGTAATTCATTTGTTCACACGAAACTCCTCTGGACCCTGTGAGGAAACGGGTGTGAAAGACACTAGGGTTCATCTAAAGGAGTCACCTGGAATGTACAAACATGTTTGGCGGCTGATAAACATATGCTAAAAAAATTAACTTGTTCTTAGGAACATAATCCGCCACCTCAGAACAAAACAGCAGTGAAGCAGACTCCGAGAAAGAGAGAAACCGTACCTTGTGCCATTACGTAAACAAATGAAACATGAACCAAAACATCTGGCTAATACCCAGGGTAGAAAAAGCCAAATCAAGTCAGTCTTTCGACTACGAGTTTGTTATTTTATTTTATTATTTTTTGTGACTTGATAGTTCATTTTGTAAAGTTCTTTAAGTCTTTTAATATACTTAGCATGATCTCGCATTTCATTTCGTGACTTAAGCCAGTGGTTGATGATACAAGGGACCAGGGAGAGTAAGATTTTATGGGGAAGTGGATGTTTTGTTCGATTCTCGTATTTCATGTACGTGACATGTTGTCGTCTCGCCTTATTTGAGACATTTATAGCCTGTTTTAGATGGTTTTAGATTGTTTGCAAGTGGTTGTAGTTGTTTTTGAGATGGTTGTAGGTGGTTGTTAAATTTTTTGAGGTGGTTGTAGGTGGTTGTAGATGGTTTTAGGTGGTTTTAGGTCGTTCCATGTTTTAGTAACTACGGTTGACAAAAGCCAGAAAAACCTTAACAATGTTCAAGTTGACTGTCAAACTTACAAACATACAAACAACCTAGCACTATCTATACTGCCTGGAGGGTAGAGTGGAAAGAACGGAAAAAAATTACTGCTGCTACAGTATGTTAGCTCGCTATCTTGTAAGGAAGTGTTGCAGGTCAGGGCTCCCCAGAATAGACCTTTTCACGGTTTCTGACGCCATCTTGGGTGGAGGGCAAACATGGCTAATATTACAGTGAATGTATGGGCTTTTGGCCCACTTGGAACCGCTATAACGCCGCTACAAAGTCACACGGGTTTCCAACGTTTGCCACTACTTTAAATAGTTTTATTGGTATCATTCATTCAACAGAAAATAAGGCTAAGAAGGTACGGCGTCTTTAAATTCTTCTCATGTGGCTTCTAATTTCGGTACTTTCGAAAACGAAGTACTCGAAAACGAAGACCGAAGCACGAAGCACCCAAATCTCAAAAACGAAGCACCCAAAACTCGAAAACAGAGCACCCAAAACTCGAAACCTGTCTGTGCTTTAAAAACTCAAGACAGTCCCTTGTCAAGTCACCAGCAGCAGGAATCAAGCATGATAACAAATAGAATGCAGTTCAAAACTATTCAAGTAGAACTACGAGGTGTTGCAAATGCATTTCCGTAGCCCTAACTATTGGCCATTTCGGAGTTGCGTAGGGCACTGGGGCGAGTATCAGATTTAAACTATCGATAAACTGACACCACCATATAAAAGGTCATGTTGAGATTGGTTATTTGACCAAGTTTGGTCCTCTAAGGTTGAACAGCGATCAAGTTGTGACTTTTGAAACATGGTTAAATATCCATACAAACGTCTGTAATTTTGTGACAGCGTCCCCCAAATAAACTCTTCTTTTTTTCGTGATTTCTGTGATATTCCTGAAAATGGGCAAACATAGTGATTTTCGAATTAGTTCCTTTTAGGTAGCAGATGCATGACGAATTTTACAGTTTAACAGGAAAACTGAAAAATATTTCAAAGAGTTTATATGGTTTTTCTTTTGTCGGGGAGGGTGCGGCTACACGTAGGCTACCCTGTCTAAGGTATGGGTCGCACTACCTTGAGGTAGAAATCTGTCATCGGTGGACATTGCTAAGTACGAACCCCAAGTTTTCAGGTTGGAAAAAACTTTGAAAATCGGCAAAAACATCAAAAACGCCGTAGTGGTTGTGTGGGGCAGGCAGATTTTGGAAAACTCAAGCCAAACAATATAACGAAGGACAGCAGTAACAGTCAGCGCTTGTCAGTGGTGAACGTGATCCATTTGAAACATGATCAATTAGAAATAAATGTGGCCGAATGTTCAGACCTTCGCGCTTTCGTGGACGGACGAGAGAACTACTATCCTTGGCCATTTTAAGCCTTTTACGCAAACAAACAAACATTCAATTGTAGGGGCAGAGAAAGTTGGAATTATGCCGGCTTGACGAACACAGACAAAAGGGTGGCAGGAAAGAAGGGCTCAACCAATATCAATACCGCCCTACCTCTGCAGGCGAGAAATCAAATGCTCCGTGGGATGGATCGGTGGACCTTTGGAGGTGTGGACGCATCCATTGCCTCTACCTGGTTTGGCTTGCGTCATGCAAGACTTAAAGTTGTTGTCCTTCAACGTACAGTGGTTTCGAGTCTTTCGTGCTCCATTTTCGAGTTTTGGGTGCTTCGTTTTCGAGATTTGGGTGCTTCGTGCTTCGGTCCTCGTTGTCGAGTGCTTCGTTTTCGAAACTACCTCTGATTTCATGGTAATTTGCATAAAAGGGTTTGTATGAAATCTTAAAATTTGTTTATGGTCATTATAACCTGAATCTCTTCTTTATGCTTTGTGAAAATAATCTCAGTACAAATGTCTTCTAAAATATATTTTCACTGTGGAAATCTACATCTTTGTAGCGGCGTTATAGCGGTTCTAAGCAGGCCAAAATCCCATACATTCACCGTAAGTTATTTTGGCCAGAAATCACATAGCCACCTGCGTCTTGTCAAGCAGGGACAGCTAAAGAGTCAATAACGATGAAAATGAAAAGCGGAAATTGTTTCTGTATCCGTGTCGTCTAAAGTATTAAGCTTAGATTAATTGTCATGTCCACAAATTTGGAATATAGAGCAAGAGAAAGATGGAGAAAAAGAGAAAGTAGGCGGCAGGCCAGCGAAGCTCAAGGAGAAAAAGAGCTGGTTGGCGTAGGGTCCTATCCCTGGTAGATGCCAAAAATGTACATTAGTCCCAGTGCTCCCATACTTTGGATATTTAGAACGGCATGGTAACATGCTAATACCACTTTATACCTTCAGTAAATTGACAACCTTATTAACCTTAAATCACACCTCCCCTCCAACATTTAATTTTAACTCTTTAAGTTTAAAATACAACCTGTGGGTGAGTGCTTGAGATGACTATTAGATTGTTAGTGTGAGACCGTAACTAAATTAAGTTCATTTCTTTATCTCTCAGAGATATGCCAAGAGATCAGAGGCACAACTTAAAGGATTGGACAAACAAAAATTAAAAAAGGTAAAATACAATATTAAAATTACGTATTCTTTTTACGTGTATATACATTATTTATGCAATCTAGCATAACACGGTGAAGAAGATACACCACTCAAACATGCAAAGGGATATCAGTTCTAAACCTTTGAGATCAACAACTGGGATACATACCGGTTTCATGTTTTGATTATTATTAAGAAATATATACATAGGTCAACTGGGATTCCAACCTACCAAAGAAATAAGAGAGACTGGTGCTCCCTGAAAAATTAGGTGCAAAGTCTGATATTTATATAAGGAATTATAAACTTAGGTAAACTGGGATTCCAAACAAGCAAACAATTGGGAGACCGAGAGATTACATAGAAACTTTAAAAATAAAAATAAACCACTACGTATAAAACCAGGTCATCTGGGATTCCAACCCCGCAACAAGGAACACCGGTTCTCCCTGAACTAATAGGTAACAATTCTGATATACAATTGGCCAAATGAGATTCAAACCCAGCAAGAAAGGGAGACAGGAACTCCCTGAAATGATACTTCATTTTATGATAGATAAAATGAACTGTTCAAACTAAGTAACTTGGGACTCCAACCCAGTAACTAAGGGAGACAGGAGCTCCCTGGACTGCTAATTCAGTCTATGATAGATGAAATATACTATAAAAACTAGATAAACTGGGATTCCAACCCACCAAGCAAGAGAGACAGGAGCTCCCTGGACTAATCCTTCAGTCAATGATGGATGAAACTTAGAATTAAACCTAGATAAACTGCGGATTCCAACCCAGCAGGTAAGGGAGACACAAGCTCCCTGGACTGATACTTCAGTCAATAATAGATGATACTTACTATTAAAACTAGATAAACTGGGATTCCAACCCAGCAAGCAAGGGAGACAGGAGCTTCCTGGACTGATATTTCAGTCAATAATAGATGAAACTTACTATTAAAACTAGATAAACTGGGATTCCAACCCAGCAAGAAAAGGAGACAGGAGCTCCCTGGACTAATACTTCAGTAAAGAATAGATAAAACTTACTATTAAAAGTAAGTAAACTGGGATTCCAACCCAGCAAGCAAGGGAGACAGGTGCTCCCTGGACTCTTACCTCAGTGTACGATAGATGGAACATAACTATTTTATACTAGATAAACTGGGATTCCAACCCAGCAAAAAGGGGAGACAGGAGCTCCCTGGACTTATACTTCAGTCAATAATAGATGAAACTTACTATTAAAACTAGATAAACTGGGATTCCAACCCAGCAAGGAAGGGAGACAGGAGCTCCCTGGACTGATACTTGAGTCAATAATAGATGAAACTTACTATTAAAACTAGATAAACTGGGATTCCAACCCAGCAAGCAAGGGAGACAGGAGCTTCCTGGACTGATACTTCAGTCAATAACAGATGAAACTTACTATTAAAACTAGATAAACTGGGATTCCAACCCAGCATGCAAGGTAAACAGGTGCTCCCTAGACTGATACTTCAGTCAAGAATAGATAAAACTGACTATTAAAAGTAGATAAACTGGGCTTCCAACCCAGCAAGCAAGGGAGACAGGAGCTCCCTGGACTGATACTTCAGTCAATAATAGATGAAACTTACTATTAAAACCAGATAAACTGGGATTCGAACCCAGCAAGCAAGGGAGACAGGAGCTCCCTGGACTGATACTTCAGTCAATAATAGATGATACTTACTATTAAAACTAGATAAACTGGGATTCCAGCCCAGCAAGCAAGGGAGACAGGAGCTTCCTGAACTGATACTTCAGTCAATAATAGATGAAACTTACTATTAAAACTAGATAAACTGGGATTCCAACCCAGCAAGCAAGGGAGACAGGAGCTCCCTGGACTGATACTTCAGTCAAGAATAGATGAAACTGACTATTTAAAGTAGATAAACTGGGATTCGAACCCAGCAAGCAAGGGAGACAGGAGCTCCCTGGACTGATACTTCAGTCAATAACAGATAAAACTTACTATTAAAACTAGGTAAACTGGGATTCCAACCCAGCAAGCAATGGAGACAGGAGCTCCCTGGACTGATGCTTCAGTCAATAATAGATGAAACTGACTATTAAAAGTAGATAAACTGGGATTCCAACTCAGCAAGCAAGGGAGACAGGAGCTCCCTGGACTGATACTTCAGTCAATAATAGAAGAAACTTACTATTAAGACTAGATAAACTGGGATTCCAAGCCAGCAAGCAAGGGAGACAGGAGCTCCCTGGACTGATACTTCAGTCAATAATAGATGAAACTTACTATTAAAACTAGATAAACTGGGATTCCAACCCTGGAAGCAAGGGAGACAGGAGCTCCCTGGGCTGATACTTCAGTCAATGATAGATAAAGCTTACTTCTAAAAGAAAGCATTTACCGGGATTACAACGGAGCAAGCGAGATACGTAATACGTGGAGTGATACTACAGTCTAGCTATTATGCATATAGGTGAACCTTTAATACCCTTATTCTTTAACTACTACATGAAGTGCATTACCTCTTTACCTTTAATTATTAATAGTATGATACTGTTTGAGCAGCAGCAATTCTTTCAATAAATTTAAAATAGCAGCTTTAAGTAGTAAAAGGGGAGTCCAAAAACAAAGTTGGCGTATTGTTGCCAATACAGTGGCCTCAAGCCAGGTGGAGGGTTTCGTGCGTTCCACAGGGTGCTTGTCTACTTACGCGGTGAGAGTGGTACTGAGCCATCAGTTACACCGAGGTCTGGGTGGTCGCCTCTGACCGACAGGTGATGTATTGGGCGCCTGATAAGAAAACGGCCGTTGCACTCAAGTGCTTATCAACTCATGCTGCAGTGGTGCAGAGCTTTACGAGTGATACTGCACGGGCCGAAGCGGTGTACCGCTCATCGGGTCATGCCATATCTCAGCTTCTGTCACGAAACAAGTCTGTTGTAAGCGCTCATGCCCAGGTGTCCCGGTCTGGACGCAAGCGGAGGTCCCCCAATTTATATGGCCGTTGCACTCACGTGCGTCTCGGATACTGCACAGGCCATACACCCTTTTCTATAGGTCATGCCATATCTCAGCTTCTTTCACGAACCAGGTTTTCTCAAGCCTTTAAATTTTGTTTTGTTTTGTTGTTTTTTCAAATAATTCAAAAATCTCAGTTATTTTAGGTATAATTTCAGATTTTCTTGGGAAGAGTTGTTGCTCTAAGAAGATTATCACTGATTTTCAAAGTAATATGCCCTTAGGGCAACTGGGATTCGAACCCATTAAGCAAGGGAGACAGGAGCTCCCTAGACTGATACTTCAGTCAATAATAGAATAAACTTACTATTAAAACTAGATAAACTGGGATTCCAACCCAGCAAGCAAGGGACACAGGAGCTCCCTGGACTGATACTTCAGTCAATAATAGATGAAACTTACTATTCAAACTAGATAAACTGGGATTCCAACCCAGCAAACAAGGGAGACAGGAGCTTCCTGGACTGATACTTCAGTCAATAATAGATGAAACTTACTATTAAAACTAGATAAACTGGGATTCCAACCCAGCAAGCAAGGGAGACAGGAGCTCCCTGGACTGATACTTCAGTCAATAATAGATGAAACTTACTATTAAAACTAGATAAACTGGGATTCGAACCCAGCAAGCAAGGGAGACAGGAGCTCCCTGGACTGATACTTCAGTCAATAATAGATGATACTTACTATTAAAACTAGATAAACTGGGATTCGAACCCAGCAAGCAAGGGAAACAGGAGCTCCGTGGACTGATACTTCAGTCAATAATAGATGATACTTACTATTAAAACTAGATAAACTGGGATTCCAACCCAGCAAGCAAGGGAGACAGGAGCTCCCTGGACTGATACTTCAGTCAATAATAGAAGAAACTTACTATTAAAACTAGATAAACTGGGATTCCAACCCAGCAAGCAAGGGAGACAGGAGCTCCCTGGACTGATACTTCAGTCAATAATAGATGAAACTTACTATTAAAACTAGATAAACTGGGATTCCAACCCTGGAAGCAAGGGAGACAGGAGCTCCCTGGACTGATACTTCAGTCAATGATAGATAAAGCTTACTTCTAAAAGAAAGCGTTTACCGGGATTACAACGGAGCAACCGAGATAAGTAATACGTGGAGTGATACTACAGTCTAGCTAATATGTATATAGGTGAACCTTTAATACCCTAATTCTTGAACTACTACATGAAGTGCATTACCTCTTTACCTTTAATTATTAATAGTATGATACTGTTTGAGCAGCAGCAATTCTTTCAATAAATTTAAAATAGCAGCTTTAAGTAGTAAAAGGGGAGTCCAAAAACAAAGTTGGCGTATTGTTGCCAATACAGTGGCCTCAAGCCAGGTGGAGGGTTTCGTGCGTTCCACAGGGTGCTTGTCTACTTACGCGGTGAGAGTGGTACTGAGCCATCAGTTACACCGAGGTCTGGGTGGTCGCCTCTGACCGACAGGTGATGTATTGGGCGCCTGATAAGAAAACGGCCGTTGCACTCAAGTGCTTATCAACTCATTCTGCAGTGGTGCAGAGCTTTACGAGTGATACTGCACGGGTCGAAGCGGTGTACCGCTCATCGGGTCATGCCATATCTCAGCTTCTGTCACGAAACAAGTCTGTTGTAAGCGCTCATGCCCAGGTGTCCCGGTCTGGACGCAAGCGGAGGTCCCCCAATTTATATGGCCGTTGCACTCACGTGCGTCTCGGATACTGCACAGGCCATACACCCTTTTCTATAGGTCATGCCATATCTCAGCTTCTGTCACGAACCAGGTTTTCTCAAGCCTTTAAATTTTGTTTTGTTTTGTTGTTTTTTTTCAAATAATTCAAAAATCTCAGTTATTTTAGGTATAATTTCAGATTTTCTTGGGAAGAGTTGTTGCTCTAAGAAGATTATCACTGATTTTCAAAGTAATATGCCCTTAGGGCAACTGGGATTCGAACCCATTAAGCAAGGGAGACAGGAGCTCCCTAGACTGATACTTCAGTCAATAATAGAATAAACTTACTATTAAAACTAGATAAACTGGGAGTCCAACCCAGCAAGCAAGGGAGACAGGAGCTCCCTGGACTGATACTTCAGTCAATAATAGATGATACTTACTATTAAAACTAGATAAACTGGGATTCGAACCCAGCAAGCAAGGGAGACAGGAGCTCCCTGGACTGATACTTCAGTCAATAATAGATGAAACTTACTATTAAAACTAGATAAACTGGGATTCCAACTCAGCAAGCAAGGGAGACAGGAGCTCCCTAGACTGATACTTCAGTCAATAATAGAATAAACTTACTATTAAAACTAGATAAACTGGGATTCCAACCCAGCAAGCAAGGGAGACAGGAGCTTCCTGGACTGATACTTCAGTCAATAATAGATGAAACTTACTATTAAAACTAGATAAGCTGGGATTCGAACCCAGCAAGCAAGGGAGACAGGAGCTCCCTGGACTGATTCTTCAGTCAATAATAGATGATACTTACTATTAAAACTAGATAAACTGGGATTCGAACCCAGCAAGCAAGGGAGACAGGAGCTCCGTGGACTGATACTTCAGTCAATAATAGATGATACTTACTATTAAAACTAGATAAACTGGGAGTCCAACCCAGCAAGCAAGGGAGACAGGAGCTCCCTGGACTGATACTTCAGTCAATAATAGATGATACTTACTATTAAAACTAGATAAACTGGGATTCGAACCCAGCAAGCAAGGGAGACAGGAGCTCCCTGGACTGATACTTCAGTCAATAATAGATGAAACTTACTATTAAAACTAGATAAACTGGGATTCCAACTCAGCAAGCAAGGGAGACAGGAGCTCCCTAGACTGATACTTCAGTCAATAATAGATGATACTTACTATTAAAACTAGATAAACTGGGATTCCAACCCAACAAGCAAGGGAGACAGGAGCTCCCTGGACTGATACTTCAGTCAATAATAGATGGTACTTACTATTAAAACTAGATAATGTGGGATTCCAGGCCAGCAGCAACGGGAGACATGTGCTTTTTGAACTATTTGATATAAGAAACTCTGGTGGTTATATAAAGCAATATGCACTTAGGTTAACTGGGATTGCAACCCAGCAACAATGGGAGACAGTTTCTTTAAAACTGTTACATGTAGCTCTGATATTTATACAAAGGAATATACACCTAGGTCAACTGGGATTCCAACACAGCAACGGTGGGAGACAGGTTCTCCCTAAACTACTTTCTGTTAACTAGGACCAATGGGATTTACACCCAGTAAGTGTCCACGGGAGAAGAGAACTCCCTAATGCCTTTACTTGACTCACCACTGTTGTATCTTTGTAGGTTATAACGAGGCTTATGCTGGACGCTTAAAAAATATCTCAGTGAAGAAGTCGGAATGATTTTATTGTATTTATAGTATTACTGTATAAATTTGCGCTGTTGTTATTACAAGCAAAAAGCTGTTTGAGGATTCATTAAGAGTCGACTTGCCTTTTTTTTTTTTATATTTCTTTTTTATGTTCCTGCCCACTTAAAACATCTGCTGATAGTTTGACGTTAAACTTTGTTTGTTATCTATATCCCTTATCGTTGCAAATCAAACGCAAAATCAGCAAGTGACATAAAACTTTATTTTGCCATAAATAATAAATAGGGTGGAGAGGAAAGAAGAAATAAATTATTATCGGGTCTTGAACAAAGCAAAAAAATATACTTACAAATCCCTAGAACTGAGTCTAGGATCCCTTTGGAACTGAAAGAGGTCAATAAGACCGGCTTGGAAAGCGTCTAAGGAAAAAAGCTTGAGAATTAATTCCACATGAAATAAGCTGTATTAGTTCAATTTAACTCCGTTGGTAACATTTTCTAAGCGCTTGTTTCTTTTTCTTGAGCTTTTTATTTTCTAGATTGAACCTGCCCACCAATTAATTTGTTCGTCACGTTGGGAGGCGTTTTCTACGCTTCAGGTATTATGGATATTTTTCTTTGCATTAGTCTCCTGTTTTCTTTTAAGAGCGGCACATATTGGGCACCATAACTGTTAAGGGCTGATATTATTTATGGGGGTGGAACTTATATACTCTAGAATAAGAGCACAGCATCGTAAGAGTTGTGCACTGGCGTCGTTTGTTTGTGAGAGAACAGAGAACTAAGAAGTGAACGACTGAAATCAACTCATTTATTCTTGCCGCTAACAGGAGTAAAGCAGTAAAAGTTTCTTATATGTGCTTATTACAATAAGTACGGTTAAACTAAAAAATAGTGTTGGGTGTGGCACGAGTACCTGTATTTTTAATCATTGAAATGCTTTATTTTGCTAACAGATGTTTACTGTATTGGTCGTTATCTTTACTGAGTTTAGGTTCGTTTTCAAATTGCACTTTTTCAGTGTACAAAGCTTGGAAAATCATCATCTGGTGAAACCCGTACAAGCTTATGAAAAAACACCAATAATGAAAGGTACGTGATCTCTTGATAAGACTTGAATAGCCCTTTTGACAACAGGTTTCGAGCAGGGGTAGTCGCAAAAATAGCGGTTGGACTGCGCAAATCATTTAGAAAACTTACCAACGCGATAAAACATGAGCAAATAATAACCAATACTCAAATTTCTTTATCATTGATCTACGGTCTACTGATAAACATTGAACCTTTTTTCCTGTTTTAGGACATGTTTCTCAAGTTGAACATCAGGAAAAGTGCTTGCCTCTTACAACACAACTAAAGTGAAGATGATCGACCAAGATGAAATACTTTAGGAGCTTAATCTAATATATTTTTTTTTCATATATACAACAGCTGAATAAAACTTTGTAGAAATTTGCTTGAGTAGCAGTCATTTTCAAAGGAGGACTTTCCTTCTAACGAAAATGACTGCTACTGGGCAACAATGCCTTTTTTGTTCTGAAAGTATTAAGGATAGGTCTTTTCAAAATATCTTTAATGCTGATCGCGAAATACGATGGACTCTCGCCAAAGTTTGGGCCTTGGTAACTTGCGAGTACTATTGTCGGCTTCTTCGGCCTTCGTTAATCTTTGTGTTTACGAACGCGCGCTATTATAAACGCTTAAATGCCTTTCTCATATTTCGTACATTGTAATGAACACTCTCGCCATCTTTTGGGGTACTTTTGGTCACTTCCTGCTACTAATATTTACAACTTCGGCTTGCGTTAAATCTACATGTTTACTTACCATGCATTACCTCGAACCGGCGCTATCGTAAATGCCTACATGCCTCTCCGAAATTACGTTCTTTTGGAGATACTTTCGGTAACTATCGACCACTATTATTGACAACACAATAACTTCGGTTTGCGTTAATCTTACATATAGACTAACCATTACTTCCAACACGCACTATCATAAACGCTTAAATGGCTTTGTCAAATTGCGTTTAGTGTAATGAACACTCTCGCAATCCTTCGGGGTACTTCTGGTAACTTTCGACCACCATTGTTAACTACTTCGGCTACATGATTAAATACCATTACAACGAACCGGCTCTATCGTAAACGCCTATATGCCTTTCCCAAGTTGCGATCTTTTGGGGGTGATTTCGGTAACTTTCAACCACTATCGTCGATTACTTCGGCTTCCGTTAACCGCTTCATACAAACTTACCATAACCTCGAACAGGCGCTATCGTAAACGCCTAAATGCCTTTGCCAAATTGCGTTCAATGTAATGAACGCCCTCGCAATACTTGGGGGTACTTTCGGTAACTTTCGACCATTATCATTGACTACTTCGGCTTGCTCAATCTTCATTTAAACTTACCATTACTTCGAACGCGCGCGATCGTGAACACTTAAAAGTCTCTGCCAACTTGTAAACACCATAAAATTAATCAACACGCTCGCAATCCTTCAGGGGTACTTTCGGTTCCTTTCGACCACTAACACTTAAAAACCTTTCCCAACTCTTGTAAACACTATAAAATAATCCTTCGGGGGTACTTTCGCTAACTTTGACCACTATGATTGACTACTTCGGCTTGCTCAATCTTCATTTAAACTTACCATTACTTCGAACGCGCGCGATCGTGAACACTTAAAAGTCTCTGCCAACTTGTAAACACCATAAAATTAATCAACACGCTCGCAATCCTTCAGGGGTACTTTCGGTTACTTTCGACCACTATCTTTGTCTACTTCGGTTTGGTCAATCTTCATTTAAACTTACCATTACTTCGAACGCGCACCATCGTGAACACTTAAAAGCCTTTGCCAACTGTTGGGAACACTATAAAAAGCAATGAACGCCCTCGCAATCCTTGGGGGTACTTTCGGTAACTTTCGACCATTATCATTGACTACTTCGGCTTGGTCAATCGTCATTTAAAGTTACCATTACCTCGAATGCGCGCTATTTTGAATGCTAAAATGCCTTTATCAACTGTTGAACACTGTACAAATCAATGAACACTCTCGCAATGCTTCTGGGGTACTTTCGGTAACTTCACGACCACTATCATTAACTACTTCAGCTTGTGTCAATCTCCATATCCACTTACCATTACTTCGTACGCGCGCCATCATAAACACTTAAAAGCCTTTGCCAACTCTTGTTAACACTATAAAATTAATGAACACTCTCGCAATACTTCGGGGGTATTTTCGGTAACTTTCGATCATTATCATTGACTACTTCGGCTTGGTCAATCTTCATTTAAACTTACCATTACTTCGAACGCGCGCTATGGTGAACACTTAAAAGTGTTTGCCAACTCTCCTAAACACTTTAAAATTAATGAACACTCTCGCAATCCTTCGGGGCTACTTTCGGCTACTCATTGGCTGCTCATTGGCTACTCATTGACTACTTCGGCTTGCGTCAATCTTCATTTCAACTTACCATTACTTCGAACGCGCGCCATCGTGAACACTTAAAAGCCTTTGCCAACTCTTGTTAACACTATAAAATTAATAAACACTCTCGCAATACTTCGGGGGTACTTTCGGTAACTTCGACCATTATATAATCATTGACTACTTTGGCTTGGTCAATGTTCATTTCAACTTACTATTACTTCGAACGCGCGCCAGCGTAAACGCTTAAAAGCCTTTGCCAACTCTTGTAAACACTATAAAATTAATGAACACTCTCGCAATACTTCGGGGGTATTTTCGGTAACTTTCGATCATTATCATTGACTACTTCGGCTTGGTCAATCTTCATTTAAACTTACCATTACTTCGAACGCGCGCTATGGTGAACACTTAAAAGCGTTTGCCAACTCTCCTAAACACTATAAAATTAATGAACACTCTCGCAATCCTTCGGGGGTACTTTCGGTAACTTCGACCATTATCATTGACTACTTTGGCTTGGTCAATGTTCATTTCAACTTACTATTACTTCGAACGCGCGCCAGCGTAAACGCTTAAAAGCCTTTGCCAACTCTTGTAAACACTATAAAATAATCCTTCGGGGGTACTTTCGGTAACTTCGACCACTATCATTGACTACTTCGGTCTGGTCAATCTTCATTTAAACCTACTATTACTTTGAAGACGCGCTATGGTGAACACTTAAAAGCCTCTGCCAACTTGTAAACATAAAATTAATGAACACGCTCGCAATCCTTCAGGGGTACTTTCGGTAACTTTTGACCACTATCTTGGTCTACTGCGGTTTGGTCAATCTTCATTTAAACTTACCATTACTTCGTACGCGCGCCATCGTGAACACTTAAAAGCCTTTGCCAACTCTTGTAAACACTATAAAATTAATGAACACTCTCGCAATATCTCGGAGGTACTTTCGGTAACTTTCGACCATTATCATTGACTACTTCGGCTTGGTCAATGTTCATTTCAACTTACCATTACTTCGAACGCACGCCAGCGTGAACGCTTAAAAGCCTTTGCCAACTCTTGTAAACACTATAAAATAATCCTTCGGGGGTACTTTCGGTAACTTCGACCACTATCATTGACTACTTCGGTCTGGTCAATCTTCATTTAAACCTACTATTACTTTGAAGACGCGCTATCGTGAACACTTAAAAGCTTCTGCCAACTTGTGAACACTATAAAATTAATGAACACGCTCGCAATCCTTCAGGGGTACTTTCGGTAACTTTTGACCACTATCTTGGTCTACTTCGGTTTGGTCAATCTTCATTTAAACTTACCATTACTTCGTACGCGCGCCATCGTGAACACTTAAAAGCCTTTGCCAACTCTTGTAAACACTATAAAATTAATGAACACTCTCGCAATACTTCAGGGGTACTTTCGGTAACTTTCGGCTACTCATTGACTACTAATTGACTACTTCGGCTTGTGTCAATCTTCATTTAAACTTACCATTACTTCGTACGCGCGCCATCGTGAACACTTAAAAGCCTTTGCCAACTCTTGTAAACACTATAAAATTAATGAACACTCTCGCAATACTTCAGGGGTACTTTCGGTAACTTTCGGCTACTCATTGACTACTCATTGACTACTTTGGCTTGGTCCATCTTCATTTCAACTTACCATTACTTCGTACGCGCGCCATCGTGAACACTTAAAAGCCTTTGCCAACTCTTGTAAACACTATAAGATTAATGAACACTCTCGCAATACTTCAGGGGTACTTTCGGCTACTCATTGACTACTCATTGACTACTTTGCCTTGGTCAATCTTCATTTGAACTTACCATTACTTGGAACGCGCGCTATGGTGAACACTTAAAAACCTCTGCCAACTCTTGTAAACACTATAAAATTAATGAACACTCTCGCAATACTTTGGGGGTACTTTCGGCAAATTCGGCCATTATCATTGACTACTTCGGCTTGGTCAATCTTCATTTCAACTTACCATTACTTCGAAGGCGCGCTATCGTGAACACTTAAAAGCCTCTGCCAACTTGTAAACACCATAAAATTAATGAACACACTCGCAATCCTTCGGGGGTACTTTCGGTAACTTTCGATCACTATCTTTGTCTACTTCGGTTTGGTCAATCTTCATTTAAACTTACCATTACTTCAAACGCGCGCTATTTTTAACGGTTAAATGCCTTTGTCAACTGTTGAACACTATACAAATCAATGAACACTCTCGCAATGCTTCGGGGGTACTTCCGGTAACTCACGACCACTATCATTGATTACTTCAGCTTGTGTCAATCTTCATATACACTTATCATTGCTTTGTACGCGCGCCATCATGAACACTTAAAAGCCTTTGCCAACTCTTGTAAACACTATAAAATTAATGAACACTCTCGCAATATCTCGGAGGTACTTTTGGTAACTTTCGACCATTATCATTGACTACTTCGGCTTGGTCAATGTTCATTTCAACTTACCATTACTTCGAACGCACGCCAGCGTGAACGCTTAAAAGCCTTTGCCAACTCTTGTAAACACTATAAAATAATCCTTCGGGGGTACTTTCGGTAACTTCGACCACTATCATTGACTACTTCGGTCTGGTCAATCTTCATTTAAACCTACTATTACTTTGAAGACGCGCTATCGTGAACACTTAAAAGCTTCTGCCAACTTGTGAACACTATAAAATTAATGAACACGCTCGCAATCCTTCAGGGGTACTTTCGGTAACTTTTGACCACTATCTTGGTCTACTTCGGTTTGGTCAATCTTCATTTAAACTTACCATTACTTCGTACGCGCGCCATCGTGAACACTTAAAAGCCTTTGCCAACTCTTGTAAACACTATAAAATTAATGAACACTCTCGCAATACTTCAGGGGTACTTTC